AAAAAAAAAAAAAAAATCCCCATGCTGTAGGTTGCCTCTTCATTCTATTGGTGGTTTCTCTTGCTGTGCAAAAGTTTTTTAATGAGATGAGGTCCCAGTCGTTGATTGTAGTATCTCCCTTGTGGTCTGGGTTTTGTTCATGAAGTCTTTGCCTATTCCTATGTGCTCAAGCCTTCTACCTATTCTCTCTTCCAGTGGATTTAGTGTTTCCTTTTTAATAGTTAGATCTTTGATCCATTTCAATTTTAGGTTAGTCCATGGTGAAAAATAAGGGTCTAGTTTCGGTTTGGGGTATGTGGAAAGCCAGTTTTCCCACCATCATTTATTAAAAAGGCTATCTTTCTTCCACTGAAGCTGTTTGGCATCGTCTTGTCAGTTCCATTGATCCTCAGATCTGTTCTTTTGCCAGTAACATGTTGCTTTGATCACAGTAGCTGTGTAGTATAATTTCAGATCAGGGATTCTGATGCCGCCTGCCTTGCCCCTGCTGCCCAGAATTGCTTTTGCTATTTTAGGTCTCTTTTGATTCCAAATGAATTTTACAATTGTTTTTTCTAATTCTTGTTTTGTTTTGCTGTTTTGGTACTGGGGATCGAACTCAGGACCTTGTGCTTGTGAGGCCGGCGGCAGCACCACTGAGTTAAATCCCTGGCCTGTTTTTTCTAATTCTGTGAATTATGCTGTTGGAATTTTGATTGAGATTGCATTAAATCTGTATAACAGTTTTGGAAGTATGGCCATTTTCACTATATTGGTTTTTCCTGCCCAAAAACAATGGATATCTTTCCATTTTCTGATACCCTCTTGGATCTCCTTTTTCAGAGTACTGTAGTTTTCAGTGTAAAGATATTTTGCTTCCTTTATTAGCTTGATACATAGGTATTTCATTTTTTTGAATGCTACTGTGAAAGGGGTTGTTTCTCTAATTTCTCTCGTGAGTTTGTTATTCATGTAGAGGCAGGAGTTCTGAGTGTTGACTTTGTATCTAGCTGCTCCACTGAATTTGGTTATCGAATCTAGAAGTCTTTTGATGGAGTTTTTGGGGTCTTTTATGTAGAGTATCATGCAATCTTCAAATAATGATAATTTCTTCCTTCCTCTCCTTATTCCTTTTATTTTTGTTTCTTGTCTAATTGCTCTGCTTAGTTTTTCCAGAACTATGTTAAACAAGAGTGGTGACAGTGAACATCTTTGTATTGTTTCTGATTTTAGAGTGAAAGCTTTCAGTTTTTGTCGATTTAGTATGATGTTGGCTGTTGGTTTGTCATAGATGGCTTTTATCAGATTGAGATAAAGACCATCCATATCAATTTTCTGTAAGATTTTTATCAAACATTGGTGTTGGACCTTGTCAAATGCTTTTTCTGCATCTATTGAGAGGAACATATGGTCTTTGTCCTTGGCTCTATTAATACAGTGTATTACATTTACTGATTTACGTATGTTGAACCATCCCTGCCTCTCTGGGATGAATCCAACTTGGTCATGGTGTATAACCTTCTTGATGATTCACTGAGTTCTGTTTGCCAGTATCTTATTGAGGATTTTTGCATCTGTGTTCATTAGTGAGATAGGCCTGTAGTTTTCTTTTTTGATTGGATCCTTCTCTGGTTTGGGAATCAGGGTGATGCTTGCTTCCAGGAATGAATTTGGGAGTATTCCTTCCCTTTAAATTTCACTTAAAGAGTTTGAGAAGTAGTAGCATTAGGTCTTCTCTAAATTTCTTGTAGATTTCAGCAGTGAATCCATCAGGGCCTGGGCTTTTCTTTGTTGGTAGCTTTTTATTTTATTTTATTTTATTTTATTTTATTGGTACCGGGGATCGAACTCGGGTCCTTGCACTTGCGAGGCAGGTGGTGGAACCACTGAGCTAAATTCCCAGCC